TGTGTGTGTGTGTGTGTGTGTGTGTGTGTGTGTGTGTGTGTGTGTGTGTGTGTGTGTGAGTGAGTGTGTGTGTGTTTTCATCGGACACATAATCCGTCACACTCGTCTGTCTGTCTGTCTGCACACGTGCACAGTGACGTTCACAGATAGTAACTGCGGGTCAAAGTCAGTGTCAGAAACTCTATTTAACTCTTTTTCCAGCAGAAATCTCAGTGAATGTGTGCCGTGGCCTTTCATCTGTCCAGACGGGCGTCAGACGCATCATTTCCTGTAACACTGACACAATAGAGACTAATATTAGCACCTTTACTCCAGAGATGAGATTCAGAGAAACTGCTGTATTTAAACTGTTATTCTGCTGTTTGACGTCATGATGAGCAGAAGAACAATCATATACACTGTATGTGTGGTTTTCTGCTCGCCAGCAGCAGCGTCTGGAAGGAAATGTGCTGCTGAATCGATGTATTTATCATGAACATTACAGACGAATAACGGCTGTTCAGAATCACTGAACAAACCAATCATATGATCCAAAGGTGCCGCGTAAATCTTACAGAAAAGGTGTTATATTTATTAAAAGCTTCTGCTAAAGACAAATATGGCCCATTCCAACCTAGTTTGTGCTGATGAACCATGTTTGTGTAACACACCAGCCATCAAAATCAACACTGAAACATGAATCATGAGCAGCTGCAAATGAATCACAGCAACACTTCAGAACAAATCTAACATGCACAAAATAAATCAGATCATTTATTATTTAACAGAAAAACAGAAACACTTCTCCTCATGATCTGGGATCAGCTGTATGATTCATGATTTCAGCAGGAAAGAATCTCTGATTTATTCTGTGTTCCAGATGAACATCACGTCCGCAGCGGGACGATGGAAGAAACGCTCATGTGATGGAAATCTGTGCGTCCAGTTAAACTTAGCTCCGTTGTGCTTCTGCGTGAACTTTAGTAGTGTGGGATTTCTAAAGTAAACAGGAAGTGAGCGCTGGAGGCACTGAAAACATCTCAATGGACTCTCAAGGCGACTTCCAATAATACACTGAGAACAGAGAAACAGACCGTCGACTCAGACCTGATCGGAACAAAACACACAGACATACAGGAATATATTTATATATGAGGACACAGATTCAGGCCTAAATTTAATATTTATGCATTTGAATTGCTTATACATTTCCATCCATTTCGACTGCTCAGTTTTAACTTAAACTAACAAACTCAATGTGATGATATCTGTCAGTCATACATCAATGAAGCAGGTCAGATTTCTGTAATAGTGTTAATAAACTCAATGTGATTTAAATACACAATAACCAGCTTTATCATCAATAAATCCAGTTTGTTTAGGTTCATTCATTGCTTGTTTCACCGTTATTGTTTTAAACTGATTATTTAAATTAATTGTTTTCACAATGAACAGATTTAAACTGATTCTAAGACATTTGAATGAATTCATTTTTAAAATGACTACTTAAAGAAAATCAAATAGATGCGAATAGTTCATGATTTCTTGAGTGCAGACGTTTCAATGCTGTATGACTGAGAAATATGCATTACTTTAAGTTTATTAGTTCGTTTAGGTTAAAACTGTGAAATCCAAATCGATGGAAATTTTTAAAATGCAATTCAAATACATAAATCATAAATGCAGGCTGCTGTTCTGCACAGGAGACGAAGCTATACTGCAGACTGACGAGACGACGCACACAGACGATCATCATCTCTGCGTTTGGTTCTCCATCAGAACACGTTTGGGGAACACGGCAGCGGTTCCTGTAGCTCTTTTGGTGAAAATCATAACCAGCCCATTTCCTCTCATTCATCGGCTGCGCTGGGAAAGTCTTGTATATCCTTCCTGCGGCGCGAGCGGCTCTGGCTCTGCACGGCTCTTCTGCAGAACACGAGGCCAGGCGCTTGAGAGCAACTATTGTCTTTTGTTTGTATCTCTAAGTCACACACAATGCACGGCTTTCCTTCTCATATAAATAATACCGTCATCCTAAAACCAGCCTCGCTGGCTGCGTGGAGGGCCGTTCTCACCAGATTCTCATTCGTACACGTCCCGCTTTAGTCTGAACCAATCCTTTTTGTTTCGCAGGAACGTCTTCATCTTCTCAATAACAGGTGCAGGATTCTCCTGCAAGCCAAAGCTGAAATCACTGGCTGATAAATGAACCAGCAATTATGTCGAGATGATAACGAACGGTCAAACTGAGTGATGAGAGCCTCAACAAAAACCACAAACACGGCAGTGTGAGCTTGACAAATGCTCTAAATCTACGTTATTTAATTAAAACATTAAATAATAGCTGTACAGTACATGATTAATTTGGTCCGTCCAGAGATCCTGACAGATCTTCACTCACGCTCTCTATTAACACTGAATTAATTCAGCATCAGTGATCGCAGCGAGACGAGGAATAAAGCCTCCAGCTTCTGAAGGAGATGAGCATGAGCTCCTCTTCAGTGAGATCACGTCTGACCGGTTCTCCTCTTCAAGGTCCATCAGCATCGTGAAGGTCCAGCGCAGGCTAGGCGAGGATGTCGCTCCGCTTGCTGCACCACACCACCAGCACCACCATGGCCAGCGTGAGGAAGACGGGCACGAGGATGAGGAGGGTGAGCGTGTCGTCCGGCGGGTCGACCAACACCACGTGCTCCAGGCTGCAGTTGGAGAAGAAGTGCTTGTGGATGCTGATGATGAAGCGCTCCACCGCTGGGTTCGGCCAGAAGCAGCCGATACGCTCGGCGTTCATCTCCGTGCAGAAGGAGAAGACGTGATACTCTCTGAGGAGACAAGCAGAAACTCACGTTATTATTCATCTCATGGAGAAATTCAGGCAATCAGCGGATCAGTCGTTTCCTTCAGGAACGGCTCATATTCAGCATTTAATGAGGCTTTTCAAATGAACCTGTCCCGTGACATGAGCGCAGAGCTTTATAGCGCTAATAACGCTCCTTCCTCTTCATCTTCACGGGGACGCAGATGAACAGAGTTTACATCATAGTACACAACACAATACTCGTCCTCAATACTCCTGATCGACATCCAAGACACAAGACATTAATACTGCTTGATGGACATGAAGCCTGATTCTGAGGATCCTGAAGATGCAGTATTTTCTGATTTATGGAGTGAATCCCCTCTGAGAAACCTTGAACTCTAATAATGACCAGAAAATTTAGCAGGAATTATGAACCTGACTTTATACAATGTTTAGATTTATGTTCAGTAAATTCATGCAAATTAGTGCATATTTAATTAGATAATGCCTCATTTGCATGTAAACAATACAATACAACAATACAGTATTTATGAGTTTGATATGAATATAAAAGACTTTGATGGCCTTACAAACAGGCTTTGTTTTCTTTATGAAAATTAATTTATTCTGATTTTAGTGTAAAATACGAGTGAGTGAGTGAGTGAGTGAGTGTGTCGGGTCTCGGTATTCCCTAAGTTAAAGGGCCCAAAAGTATAGTAATTCCAGTACATTTTGTCCTTGTGGGGACATTTTTTTTGGTGCCCATGAGGAAACAAGTGTTTTGAGAATCTAAAAATGCCTGTAGTTTTGTGTGAGGGGGAGGTTCAGGGTAAGGGGATAGAAAATACAGACTGTACAGTAGAAAAACCATTAGCACCAGAGTCTGTGTGTGTGTGTGTGTGTGTG